TAGCCACATGCTTCCAGCTTTTGTCCTCGCATTTTGTATTTTATAAGCCTTTAAAATAAACAAGAAATTTCTAAATAAGAATTTTAATTCAAAAACTTATATTTCACATTCGTTTATTTATTTTGGCTACCAGTCATTTAATTCACTTGTTATATAGCATATATATTTAGGTTCTCTCATTTATATAAATAACTATTCTAATTTATAACCTTTAGATAAAATCTCTAATTATTCGGTGAGAAATATTGTATAATGATAATTCTAATATTGTATAATATTTCTTAATACTTCAAATTTTTGTCGTCACTACTTCTTAAGAATATAACTAATTTAATTCTTCATTAAGTTTAAGTGTTTATTAAAAAATTCGAACAGCATTTCCTCTATAAAACTGGACTATCCAAATTTTTTTTCAAATTTTCACAAAAATCCACACACACAGCCCATTCCATCGGGCAAAATTTCATATTCCACTGAATTCCCGTCCCATATCCATCCATTTATTCGCGTCACTTAAATTCACATAATCCATATAATAATTGTTATATAAACAATTTATTTGTTAATAAAATTCCTAAAAAACTTATTATTTAGCTAGGGAATTATATTTTTTTTGTACCAACCTTATAGTTATAATTAATATTCATTAAAATCTTATTAATAATATTTAATGTTTAATTTATACTTAAATACTTAATTAAGTTCATTAATTAATTAATCAGGAATTATTCAAAAATTGCGCGATTAAGCTTTTTAGAGTGTACCGATTTTAAAATCCAAATTTCATTTCCGTGTTCCGCACGAAGAGGAGAGCATTTCTGTCCCTTGAAGTCTCGCCGCCGCGTCGCCGGACCGCCGCCCGCCGCCACTGCACGGCCGTGCACGGTGGCCGGGAAAGTCAAATCTTCACCAAAATTAACAAACAATACATCATTTTATTCGTTTCGATGAGAGGATTACTAATATGTATTCAAATTAAGATGGGTGTGAACTATTTGGCTGGAAATTGACCGGAAAGGTTCGGTGATACCCATTTTGTGTTTTCCGATTCCGGCTATTACAGTCGACGAGGAGGCCACCAAATGAAAGAGGAAGAAGAGAGGAGTCATTTGATACTCACCTTGCGCCCAAAGCTTGCCTGAAACGGCGTGAATCGTCGGAGAAAGGTGTCGCTACGGTGGCCGAAACTTCAAGCTCTTCCCCTTCAAAAAAGTTCAAATCTTAAGCTATAATCTTCTTTCCGTCACGTTGAGTGCATATTTTAGGAGTATTCTTCCTTGCGTTGAGTAGATGTTTTTAGAGTATTCATTTGCCGGATTTGGTGGCCGGAGGACGGAGATCGAAGGAGAGGAAGAGAGGGTCACGCAGAGAAGAAGAAGAAGAAGAGAAGGAAAGAAAAGAAAGAAAGAAGAATCGTGCAGCTTCTAGACCATTCCGGTTCGATTCAAACCGGTTTGGTCTAATTCAATGATTCGGCTCGATTTTTGCTCGGTTTGCAAGTTTTTCATTTGGTTTTCAGATTATTCGTGTGGTTTTCGAAAAATCAATTTGATTTTCGAGTCTGGTTTAATTTATTTTGATTATTTTAGTTAGGTTCTATAACATTTCTTCAATTTACTTAATGTTAATATTAATAATCATAATATTCGATTTTTTTAAGATAAATTTCGATAATGTGTTTTGGGCTTGAGCCCAACTTCGTAAACTTGGGCTTGAATTGAGGCAATTTTATACTTGCAGTCCACATGATTAAAATTTTTGATTTTTGATTTAATAAAAATTCAAAAGTTTCGAAAATAAAAATTCGGGGTATTACAATCTCCCCCCCTTAAGACAATTCGAATTCAAAAGTTTCGGAAATAAGAATTCGGGGTATTACACCACCTCTTCCTAATCAAGGCTTCCACCTCTCCTAAAATAGGAGATGGGGCTAGAGTTTCAACACACCAAGCAGAGCGCAGAAAGGAAAGATTTAGAGAGTTTGAGTTTTTAGAAAGAGTTTCTAAACTCAGGGTAAAGAAAATATGAACATAATCTCCTATAAATAGGAGATGGTGCTAGAGTTTCAACACACCAAGCAGAGCGACAGAAAGAAAGATTTAGAGAGTTTGAGTTTTAGAAAGAGTTCTAAAACTCAGGGTAAAGAAAATAGTGAACATAATTTGGAGTGTTTTTGGAAAACACTTTTGAGCGCCACTATTTTGTATCACTCTCTTTGTAAGCCTACTATTTTTAACAGTAGAAGAAATATTCGGTTTTTGTCTCGTAGACGTAGCCTTAAACAGTTAAAGGGTGAACCACGTAAATATCTGTGTGTCATATTTCTATTTTTTCACTGTGTTATTATTCTCGTAATTTTATTGCCGGGCCCTAACACTATCTATTAATATCAAACTCAAATTAGGCTTGCCTATGTGGAAAGATGTTCAAACGACATCATATAAGATTATTTTTCCATTTTAATTCGATCAAGCCAATACTATGCCATTTTGGTATTCTATTTTTAAAATTTTTATTTTTGATGTGACTTACTCTTCCCTTAATTGGATCCACTGACATTGTCAATATTATTCTAACGACACAGGGCAATGCTATTATTGCAATTAAAAATTAATTTCACAACATCAATTGCCAAAATTAAAAAAAGAAAAAATAATTATTTCATCAGTTATTAAAATAGAAAATTAAAAAAAAAAAATTTAAACATCAAACTTTACAATTATCAAAAAAGAAAAAGTTACAAGACCAAGATCATTAATTATAGAATGCCCTTTATTTCTCTCATTTTCTGAATCCATAAATAAACGGTAAATTCTTCTCAATAGATATGAGACATAACTAACAGAAGTAGGGGTATACATTGATTTGGAATACACCAATCTAAATCGAATTTCAATTTTAAAAGGAATTTTAGAATATGGCGAATTTAAAATGAAATGTATTTTTTAAATTAGTGATATAGAAATATGAAACGAAAAACTATTAGAAAAAACTATTAGAAAATTCTATATTCCAATCCATATACCGAATTTTTACTTTTTTTTCTTTTTTAGTTTTAGTTATATACCTAATAATAAAATGTTAAACTTGAGTAAAATATTTTTAAATTTTCATTTTTATTGTGCTTGACAAGAAAATTTCTTTTTAATGAAAACTTTGAAAATCTTCTGAAATTTTTTATATGAATTGCTCTTTTGGTCTATTTTTACTTTTAATTCTTATTTCTCTTTCTATTTCTTGTTTTGAATTTTATTATATCCATTTTATAGTCGCACTAACTTTATGTTTTTTGTATTCTTCATTACTAATTAAATGGAAAGTTGTCCTCATCAATAAGTTTGAATGTCTTGTTTTATTGCAATTTGATGTGTTTTTTAATATTTATATCTAATTTTAAATAATTATATTGATTGTTTTTTATTAAATTTAAATATTTGTATCTTAAAATATATCATAATAGATTTATATTTATAGTTGAGAAAAGTGAAATTACCAAATTTCAAACTAAATTTTCATAAAATAGTATGGAATGAAATTTTAATTTCAAAAATTATTTCGAATAGAATGGAATATAATTTTAAATTTCAAAATATTTTAAATGAAAAGGATTGAGTGTCATTCTATGCCGTTTCAATTACACCCATAGACAGGAGGATAAGATATCTAATAGCTTATTTCCCTCATATTTTTGATATAAAAAAATGAATTAACCTTTTTCTTTAATTTGTTTTCCAACAAAGATAAAGTATACGCCAATAAGGTATTGCCTTAGTAGTAAAGGCGAAAGCTTTGAAATCAAAAGGTCTCAAGTTCTGTCTTCACCCTCATCCAATTGTTCAAATATTACCTTCTATTTATTATGGGCTCTCCTCAATGGAATTAGGCACTACCTTATAATATATTGATGTGTTGAGTTTGAAACTTGCTTAAATTGCTGAAAATAGGGTAAAGTATATGAAAAAAGCAATTTTTTTAAAGGAAAGGAAGAAAAAAAAATGGAAGTATGAAACAATTCTTTAATTAGGGACTAATTCAAGGGAATGATTGATGCATAATTGCATATGTATGGATTGAAAGGTCATACTCAAACATGTAAAGATGTTATCATTTAAAGTTTGATATCTTAGTAAAACATAAATGCCCTATGCATAAATTTATCCTTGAAATTTATGTGATTTGGCTTGTGACATTTTAAGTTTGCAAGAGACCTATTATGATCCTATACTTTAGCATTTTATCCAAATTAAATTACTTTGTTAATAGTTTAATCACGACCTTGTACTTTTACATTTTATTTTAGCGAAGACATAATTATCTCTGAAATGCAAAAGTATAGGGTCACAATAAGTCTTCTGCAAACTTGAGATGCCACAAGACAAATCGTCTAAATTTCAAGGGTAAATCTATGCAAATAATGAATAGAATAAAAAAAGAAGAAGGAAAACAGTGTATAATCTCTGGAATCATTATTGCTAGCAGCATATATAACTCTTCAGAAGAATCTTCTTTTTTTCTTTTTCAACAATTCTTCTTCTTCTTCTTCTTTTCCAGTTGGGACCATTTCTTTTTCGTTTCCAGCTACATAGCCTTACTTTTTTTTCCATTGTTCATAACCACAAGCATATTAGTTGCATCTATATTCTCATTTCTCAAGCTACCCTCTTTACATTTCATGAGCTCATTTATTGGAAGAAGCAAAATAAATTGAAAAATCCTTTTCATTTCCAATTGCACTTAGTTTTCTTTTACTTTTAGTCATTTGCTCCCATTAATTTAAGTGTTGAAAAGTTAATCTCCGTGATTTAAAATCTTGGCTTCGCGATTAAAAGTTTTCTATTACAAAATAGTTAATCAACTATTAGGCTACTTATTGCCTAATGACCAAATCTTCTTTTTCTTTAAATTGGCATTTCCTTTATGCTTTAATTGCCTTGTAATATGCCTCCATTCTCTCTGGATCCGCTTTTGGTGTTCACATTTGTCTGCAACCGAAAGACAATGTGAGCTGTGGCATAAATCTTTCTTTAATTTGCATTTTTGAGCTTTCATCATTATATGTTAAACTCACTCACATTATATCTCAAATATTCCCAACACACACACACACACACATATTTATATAAATTTACTTGCTAGATACCACATTAATCAAATATACATATCTCCATTCCTAGAAGATCATCAAGTCTTCTGGCGATATGGCCTCGAGGAATGTACTTCCACGCAGGGCAAAATCACAGTTTTTAGCATTAGAGCAGGAAAGCTCGGGTCATGATCAAGGTAATCAAATAATCTCCAATTCCCAGCTCCTTTTTCATCACGGCTTTCCAAATGTATCTTTATTTTAAGTATTTATCCAAAACTTTGGCAGAGGTAAAAGATAGAGAGTACCTTCAAAATCTGGCTCTATATAAGGCAGTTGACAATGGCGATTGGGAGGCTGCAGAGAACTTCCTTGAACAACATCCGAACGCAGTGACTGCTAGTCTTTCAGCGGATGACGACACAGCTCTCCACGTAGCAGTGCTAGCAGGCCACGTAGATATCGTAAGAGAGTTGATCAAACGGTTAAGCCCAGAGGATCTAGCAATCAAAAACAAAACAAATGCCACTGCCCTTAATTATGCTGCTATTGGAGGGATTACAAAGATAGCCGAGGACTTGGTCGAAAAGCAGAAGGATTTGCTCACCATTCCTAACCAGAATGACCAAATACCTGTTGTTGTAGCTTCTCTTTATGGTCATAAAGAAATGGTTCGTTACCTTTATAATGAGAGTCCCAAAGAGGAGCTTAGTCCTCAAAAAGGCAAAAATGGAGTTATGCTTCTCACTGCTTGTATCATTGATGAACTCTATGGTAAGTTTACACTAGAAATGCATTTGATTTTGTTGCATTATATTCCATTATAGTTGCCAAAAGAAGCCATATCATCAATATCTTTCTATTTAGATGGTCAAACCATCTACTAATATATAGAGGGCGTTGGTTGGAATAATAAGCAGTGTTAATCAAAGTGAGATCACGAGTTTAATCCCAAGAAGACACATGTTAGGAGGATAAAATAATCTTTATACTCTCCGACTCCAGAGGTCCTCATTACTTTTTCGTTTTATATATTGATATAGATATTGCTTTGGATTTGCTTCAACATCACCCACAATTGGCATTTGAGCAAGACACTGATAAAGATACAGCACTTGAGATGTTGGCTCAGAAACCATCTGCGTTTCTCAGTGGAAGTGACCTTTCTCTATGGCAACTTTGGATATATAAATGTACCTTTCTCAACTAATAACTTTAACTTTAACTTGATGAGTTGCTTGATTGATCCCCTATTATTTCTTCTTGAAGCTATTCGTGTTGCTCATCCTCAACCCTCCAATAGCAACCATGGCGACATTGAAAGACCCCTTAGTGGACCGGCTGTGCAGAAAAATGTCATTCGACGAGGTATGTTATTAATACAGCTATGTTTGGTAAGTCAAAATAAAATGTAACACGATGCTATCAGATACATTTTTAGTATAAAACCCAAATTAATATCATAATTTTAATAAAAACTTATCTATTAAAAATTACTCTTTTATCCACATTTTTATCAGATGATATATATTTCTTTTTATCATGTTATTTACATTATATTCCATAATCGCTCACCAAATGTGCAGCATTTCACCAATTGTTGGTAGTGGTGTCAAAATGCCTCAAACCGTTTGGTAAGTAATAACATCTAATACCTACCTTAACTCCTCATAATTTTATTTACTTATTTACATAAGCCTGTCACAAAACTTTTCATATTTTAAATTTTTAACTATTAAATCCTTCAATATGAAAATTTGTTTACAATTCTACCCTACTGGTCAAAATTGAACAAATAATAATACTTTTATTGTTTATCTAAGTTAAAAATAATTTTTATAACTTTTTCCTCTCGCTTTCCAACCTTGTTTTTGCTTACAGTTCCAGGAATCAAGCATTTGTATAACCTAAAGTTGACACATGCCCAAGCACAAGAACTTTTGTGCTGCATTTGCGACCAACTGTCAACTCTACACAAATCAGAATTTGAACAACTTGGAGTTATTAGAGCCATATTTAAAGCTGTTAAGCATGGAATTGTAGAGATCATTGTAGAGATGACAAGACAGTATCCTGATATAATATGGTGCGAGGACGAAAATGAGAGAGGTATATTTTTATATGCAACTTTGCAACGCCAAGAAAAGATTTTCAGTCTTATTTATAAAATGGGTGCAAAGAAGAATTCCATGGCAACTTCTTGGGACAAGTTTCATAACAATATTTTGCATCAAGCTGCATTCTTGGCACCTTCCTCCCGGCTTGATCTCGTTTCAGGTGCAGCATTGCAAATGCAAAGGGAACTTCAATGGTACAAGGTAATTAATATACTAAAATTTAGCAGAAGTCACATTGGCCAAATAAATATTTTTTGCCATATATAATTTTTTACGGGTTTTAGAACTAATTTGGAGAAAAAGAATTAATTTTCTTAATTAATTTTGAATCAATTGATTGAACCTGTCTCTGTCTCTCTCTCTCTCTCTCTACTTTCTTTTTGTTTAATTATATGGCAGGAAGTGGAGAGGATTGCACAACCAAAATATAAAGAGATGCACAACAAACAACACAAGACTCCTGGCACTTTATTTACAGAATCACATAAGAAATTAGTTGACGAAGGTGAGAAATGGATGAAAGACACAGCCGAATCGAGCACAGTTGTGGCTGCTCTTATCGCGACAATTATGTTTTCTGCAATCTTTACAGCTCCAGGAGGTTATGATCAATACAGTGGCCTGCCTCTGTACTTGTATCAGGATTTATTCATGGTTTTTATAGTATCCGACGCGATGTCATTATTCGCTTCCACATCTTCGTTGTTGATGTTCTTGGGGATCCTGACAGCGCGGTATGGAGAAGAAGATTTTCTCAAGTCCTTGCCCACAAAGTTGATAATAGGGTTATCCACACTTTTCTTTTCTATAGCAACTATGATGATAACATTTGGAGTAACTCTTGTCATTTTTCTTCGCCAACGTATGCCTTGGGTTTCATTTCCAATAATTCTGCTGGCTAGTCTTCCAGTCACTCTTTTTGCTCTTCAGCAATTTCCTCTTCTTGTGGAGATTTTCCTGTCTACTCATGGACCTGGCATTTTTGACAAGCCAAAGAAGAGGTGGTGCTTTTGGGGTTTAGGTAGAGACTAGGAGTATCGAGATTTTGTTATATATAAATAAAAATATTATTTTTATGGGTTTTTGTTATTTTGATTATTTATTTAGTTAGTTATTTAGGGTAGTGCTTGTTGCTACTAGTTGGTAGAGAATTTTTCTTGGATCCTGTCAGAAAATTTTGGACAAATGGGTATTTATTACCTACTCTCCACCATTTATTATTATTATTATTATTATTATTATTATTATTACTACTGAATAAATAATAAATCACGGTACCAATCTGGTTATAAGCTCTTTGACCATAGAATCAGGTTTAAATTTCTTCTCTCCAATAATAATAATAATAATAAAAAAGAAAAGAAAAAGAGATACAGTTTATGTAGGATGACCATTGATTCTTCTTCATCATGTTAGTGTTGTGCGATGCCCACTCAAGTGGGACCCACAATAAATTCTTCTCTCCAATAAAATAATAATAATAAAAAAGGAAAGAAAAAATTGAGATACAGTTATGTAGGATGACCATTGATTTTCTTCTTCATCATGTCTAGTGTTGTGCGATGCCCACTCAAGTGGAAAAAAAAAAAAAAAAAGTGGGACCCACAATAAATTTGAAAAGAAAAAAAAAAGGAAAACGATTTGAAAATGTCAAAAGTTGGCAGAAGGTTGGCAACCAACCATTACCTAAATGGATAGCCGTGTGTAACTCACACACGATTCTTGCATTACCTCTCCTATAAATAGAAGAGGATTTGCTTCATTGGAAGTACACACACCAGAAAGAAATATGATGGGTTTCCTAAAATTAGGGGAGAGAAAAACAGTGAGGAAATTATTATGGGGTGGTTTTGGAAAACACTTTGTGTGCCACTATTTTTGTATTACTCTCTTTGTGTACCTACTATTTTTTAATAGTGAAAGAATTATTCGGAGTTTGTCCCGTCACACACACACACACACACATATATATATATATATATGAAATATTCAGAGTTGATCCGGTGGACGTAACCCTAAACAGTTGAGGGTGAACCACGTAAATTTCTGTGTGTCATAATTTTATTTTTTCGCTGCCGTAATTATTCTCATAATTTATTGTCGGCACCCTAACAAGTGGTATCAGAGCTGAAGGTTTCGGCAGGTCTAGCTGGTCAGATAGCGGTACCGGATCCGTGGATATATTTTGAAAATAAATATATGACAACGAAGAGAAAATTACGACGAGTCAATTGATGCTGTCCGCTCGGAAAGACATTGCAAAATCGACTTAGTGATAAATAGTAAAATAGTAACTCAAAGTTGATGGTGAACAGTACTATTGGCGTTATGGTTGAGTCCGTTTCAAGTAAGCCCAGCACTTCACGCATAGTACTATTTACGTGTACAGATACTATTCATGTATACAGTTACTATTCAAGTAGACTATTACTATTCATGGTCACTATTGACGTATACTGCTGTTCATGTATACGGTTTATGTTGGTGATGATATTCTGCACAAGTCAAAATGGACAAGCAAAATGATCAGTCTAAATGGCGGGAATTACCATATATGGGGAATTACCATATATGGAGAAATGAGAGATCTCCTTATGGTAATCAAAATGCATTTGCCTGTGTTTAGTTGACTAAACCGAAAGAGAAGACTAATGAGGAATGGGCTTTCGAGCATGCCTCCAAATCTCGGTTGGCAGATTTGATGATGAAGGTTTCTATAGCACCTTCAGAAATGGTCAGTGGAAGCTCACAAAAGATTCATTTGTGGTAGCTAAAGAAAAGACCGGGAAAAAGATCTGCAGGTGGTGCCTTGCGTGTCGAAAGTCTTCCTGGACAAAGAAGGAGGTTAGGCAGCGTGTCCTGCCAGGAGTTGTAGCGGCGGGTACAATGATGGTTGGCAGATCTAATAGAATTATCGCTGGAAAAGGAAATACTTGGACTGCAGTGAAATGGATTTTCAGGATATCCAACAGGATATCCAATCACATTTGCAGGGGGAGTCGTGTCGTGGCAGTCAAGATTACTGAAGCGTGCAAAGAGTTGCTGTGTAACAACAGGATCAAGACCGGAAAAAGATCTGCAGGTGGTGCCTTGTGTCGAAAGTCTTTTCGACAAAAGGAGGTCGGGCGGCGTGTCCCGCAAAGTTGTAGTGGCGGTACAAGATGGTAGGTCAGATCTAATAGATTATAGCTGCAGGGATAATGATGGCTAACGTCCCCACTTGAGTGTGCAGGGGGAGATTTGTTGTGCGGTGCCCACTCAAGTGGGACCCACAATAAATTTGAAAAGAAAAAAAAAAAAAAAAAGGCGAAAAACGTGTTATTTGGAAAATGTTCATAAAAGTTTGGCAGAAGGTTGGCGACCAACCTATTACCTAAATGGAGAAGCCGTGTGTAACTCCACACACGGTTTCTCGGCATTACCCTCTCCTATAAATAAAGGTAGAGGATTTGCTTCATTTGAAGTACACCACACCAGAATAGAAACAGGAAAAAAATGTTTAGCCGATGAGAGTTTTCTAGTTTTTAGGATGGGGTTTCCTAAAACTAAAGGAGAGAAAAATAGTGGGAAATTATGTATTGGGGTGTTTTTGGAAACACTTGTATGCCACTTATTTTTGATTACTCTCTTGTGTACCTACTATTTTTTTAAAGTGGAAGATATTATTTTGGAGTTTGGTCCCGTGGACGTAGCCCTAACAGTGAGGTGAACCACATAAATTTCTGTGTTTGGTCTCATTTTCTATTTTTCGTGCATTTTGAGGGTGAACCACATAAATTTCTGTGTGTCTCATTTCTATTTTTCCGCTGCATTAATTTCTCTTAATCGGTTGAAAGGGCCCAATGAGTGGTATCAGAGCTGATGCCCAACAACTGGTATCAGAGCTGATTCCTAACAGTTAGACACTCACTAACGACACGTATGTTGATTTTTCTGCTAATAAACAAAGTTATTCATCATCTTCCTTATATTTTTTGGAACCAACATTGCCTTTCTTAACCCTCTTTCCCTCATTATCACTATTTGATCTTTCCTTATAAGTCATAAACGATGAAAAAGATGTCATGGAAGAGAAAAAAGGAGATTCATGTTAAGAATTTTGTCTGCAAAAAATAGGTTATTTCTTCCACCAATTTCTTGCTTGAAATTGTTTAAGACAAGCAACCCTTACACTTATCCTCTATTAATGAAGATAATGATAGCTCTATTTTTAAGGAGATAATTCCTAATCGAGAAACCTTTCGCGCTTAAGAGAAGATGGACGGTTGAAGTTGTTCTTTGATCATTCGGAAGACGAAGAGGAAGAAAAAGAAGAGTTTTAGCTTTATTCCTCTCTTCATAGTTAAATCAGTTTGATGAAAGCTATGTATTTTCTTGAGAAAACTTTATTTGTTTGTTAGTGTTTTTGTGCATCTTTTGTCTATTCACCCTGCAATGATGTTGCCAAGAAAGAATGTCGATCTTTAAGTGCATTTCCTTTTGATTTGTATCAACTTTTTGAGGAAAAATCAATGCTTCATTGATCGAAAGGAAAGTACAATACAAATTATATGTCTAGCTAGCTGTAACAAATAAATAAAACAAGCCTTACAAAAATATGCTAAGAACCCCCTTGGCAAGCTGGAGAAAATATATTTATCATTCCCAGCTTGAGGATTAAAGATTGAAAAATTGGTGTTGGCAATGGTTTGGTGAAGATATCAGCTATTTGAGCAGTTGAAGAGACGGCCAGGAGCTTGATGAGTCTAGAATGAACCTTCTCACGCACTAAGTGGCAATCAATTTCGATGTGCTTAGTACATTCATGGAAAATGGGATTTGCAGCAAGTTGTAGGGCAGATTTGCTATCACAGAACAGAAGAGCAGGTTAGGAGTGATTAACATAAAGATCGTTGAGCAAATATTTGAGCCATTGAAGCTTGCAAGTGGTAAAAGCCAATGCTCGATATTTTGCCTCGGATGATGATCTAGAAAGAGTGTGTTGTTTCTTTGCCTTCCAACTTCATTTGATCTGCTCTTCATTGATTTTAGATTTTTTCATTGGTTGAATATCATCTAATGTTGTTGGTATTAAAATTTCCATTAAATCCCAAAGTGCAATGATGAGCAAAGAGGTCACAAATTAAACATTCAAGTATCCTCATGAACTGCATTTTTTGATAATAATAAATAATAATAATAATTATTATCATTATTAGGTTGACATACAAACAAAATTTATTATTATATTTTGATCTTTTGATTATTTTGAAAATTGAACTGGTATGATCATTCATACCAATTAATTTATGAATCGATTTACTGGAAGTTTGTTTTGAGAAAACTAAAAATGTAAAAATCGAATTAAACTAGTTAAAACTGAAAAAATCAGACCTTTGGTATTTGCTGCAGCCTTCAGAGCTCTCTCTCTTCCTATTTTCGTATTTTTTTCTGAGCATTTATCAGTTGTTGAAACCTGATCGGACCGGCCGGTTGGATGGTTAAACCAAGAACCAATTGGTCATCCAGACTTGAATTTGAAAAAAAAAAAATTCGTAAAATTGAAAAAAACCGAACTTTTTTTACGAAAATATATTAATTTTCTTTTTCTGAAAAAAAAATCAAACTAAAAATCATCATGAGGAAACTGTATATAAGTATGTAATATATATCAATATATTTCTATATTTTTATATAAAAAATCTAATAATAAATTATTTATACAAAGAATAAAAAACACGATTTTTATTTGAAAAAATAAATATGTTATTGTTCATTTAAAAAAAGTTTTATTACTTTTATATGTATCAGTATAGTTTCTGTGTTTGAGGAACTTAAATTTAAACTTTCAGCTTGGATTGAACAGTGTTATTTTGTTATTTTGAACTTGTTGGGAATCAGGCTCTGATACCACTTGTTAGGCATCAGCTCTGATACCACTCCTTGGGCCCTTTTAACCAATTAAGAGAAAATAATTACGGCAGCGGAATAATAATAAGAGAAAAAAATTACGTGGCAGCGGAATAATAGAAATGCGGACACACAGGGAGAAATTATACGGTGTATCACCCTTCAACTCTTTAGGGGCTACGTCCACAGGACAAAACTTCCGAATATATTTTCTTCCAACTATTTAAAACAATAGTAGGTTACAAAGAGGAGTAATTACAAAAATAGTGGGCACCACTCAAAGTGTTTTCCCAAAAACCACCCAAAATAATCCTCACTATTTTTCTCTCCCTCGTTTTGGAACCCATCCTAAAACGGGGTAACCACTCTCTCGCTACATTTTCTATCTCGTTTCGGTGTGCTTGTGTGTTTCTGCCTCTGCCTCTTATTTATAGGTCAGGTTAACGCGTAGGAATGCCGTGAATAACTCTTTCCAAAGTTTGCACTGCCCAATGCTGACTATCACTGTTGAACTGGCTGAATCCTTATTTTTCTTACTTTTCACACATGTGGGTTTCCATTTAAGTGGGCACACCACAACAATTTCTCCCCCTGCACACTTAAGTGGAACATTAGCCATATTCTCCATTCATCCATGCAACTATCCGACAGTATTCAAAAACTTTTCCTTTTTGAAAGAATTCTTCGTCAACATGACTGGATTCCATTTTCTCCTGTATGGATCCTCAAGCTGTAACGGCTTCATCCTCCAACACATCCCTGATTAGTGATTAGATATGGAAGGAAGGAATTCCTTTTTCCAAGGATGATATTGAGCTTTGACTGTCACGGACACGGTCCCCCCTGCAGCATAATCTATTTAGATCTGTCCCACCATCTGTACCGCCGCCTACAATCTTCGCCGCTACAACTTTGCGGGACACGCCGCCGGACCTCCTTTTGTCGGGAAGACTTTCGACACAAGACACCACCTGCAGATCTTTTTTTTTTGTCTTGGTTCTATTGTTACATTGCAACTCTTTGCACGCTTCAGTAATTTTGACTGCCACGATACGGCTCCCCCTGCAAATGTGATTAGATATCCTGATGTAGACTTTCTCGAGTCAACATCCCCAGCCATATCTGCATCGGTATAACCGACTAATACTCGCTTCTCATCTCCAAAGTATAAACATACTTTGGTTGTACCTCGAAGATCCATTTCACTGCAGTCCAATGTTCCTTTCCAAGATTTGAAAGAAACCGACTCACTACTCCGACTCGACCTCACTACTGCCCGACTGATGTTGAGCATATCTGGCCGTGTTTAACAACCATGGCATACATCAAGCTTCCAACTGCTGGAAAACATTAGGCAACCTTTTCCTTTTCTCCTTCTCTCCATCCGTAGAAGGTGCACTGTTTTTAGATACTCAATTTAAAGTGATTAGTAAGAGGCAAACTAACCGCTTCGTTTCCATTCTAAACCTTTAAGTACTTTTCTCAATGTTAACTTCTCTGTGACAACCATAATTTTCTGGCTTCGATCTTAAACTTCCATGCCAAGATATTGCTCTTTGTTGGTCCCCAAGTCTCTCACGCAAAGATGCTTACTAGATTTCTAAACCAACTAATCAACCACTAGAGCAAAAACCACTCTGCTCTGAGTCGCTGGCCACTGGACTTTTGAGATATCGTCCACCTCTGCAAACACTGGCCCACTCTACTCTGAGTCACTAGCCACTGTGTTATGTCTGTCATCCACCTTTGCAAACACTTGCCCACTCTGCTTTGAGTCACTGGCAACTGTGTTATGTCTCTTGTCCACCTCTGCAAACACAGGCCCACTCTGCTCTTTGTCGCTGGCCATTGGACTTTCTGAGATATTGTCCACCTCAGCAAACACTGGCCCACTCTGCTCTGAGTCGCTGGCCATTGGACTTTCTGAGATATCGTTCACCTCTGTAAACATTGGCCCACTCTACTCTAAGTCGCTGGCCACCACGTTATGTCTATCGTCCACCTCTGTAAACACTTGCCCACTTTGCTCTGAGTCGCTGGTAACTGTGTTATGTCTCTTGTCCATTTTGACTTGCGCAGAAAATCATCACCAACATAAACCGTATACGTGAACAGTAGTATACGTAAATAGTGACCATGAATAGTAACAGTTTCATTGCAGTCGCTGGCCACTGTGACTTTCTGAGATGTCGCCACCTCTGCAAACACTGGCCCACTCATTTGCTCTGAGGTCGCTGGGCCACTGGACTTCCTGAGAATCGATCGCTACCTCTTGCAAACACTGGCTCCCTCTGCTCTGAGTCGCTGGCCACTGGACTTCTGAGATATTGTCCACCTCTGAACACACTGGCCTCACTCTGCTCAGTCCTGGCATCGTATGTTTATCATCCACCTTCTGCAATAAACACTTGCCAGTCTACTCTGAGTCGCTGGCATACTGTGTTATGTCTGTATCACCTGATAACACTTTGCCCACTCTTACTCATGGAGTCGCTGGCAACTGTGATGTCTGTTGTCCACATCGTGCAAAAACACTTGTCCCACTCTTGCTCTGAGTTGCGTGCTTTGCAACTGTGTTTGTCGTTTCCACAACGTAAACACGCCCACTCTGCCTCTGAGCGCAGTGGGCAACTGTGTTTTGTTTTGGTCGATCCACCTCTTGACTTTTGTGCAGGAAATATTCAGTCACTAACATAAACCGTATACTATGAACGAGTAGTATACATGAATAGGACCATGAAAGTCTAATCAGTTTCTACTCAATATGTAACTGTATGCAATGAATAGTAACTGTACTACGTAAATAGTACTATTGCGGATAGTGTGGGCTTACTTCAGAAGCGGATCTCTAGCAACAGTTACGCCAATAGAACTGTTCACCATAACTCGTAAGTTACTATTTTTACTTATTATCACAAATCGATCTGCAACGTTCTTTCCGATGCGGATCAGCTACCAATGGATCGTCGTAATTTTCTCTTCGCGTGGATTAATCATTTTTTTAAAAATATACCACGGATTCCGGTCAGCTATCTGACGGCTGGCCCTACCACGGATCCGGTACCGCTATCTGACCGGCTGGACCTGCCGAAACCTTCGGCTCTGATACCACTTGTTAGGAAATCAGCTCTGATACCACTTATTGGGCCCTTTCAACCAATTAAGAGAAAATAATTACGGCAGTGGAAAAATAGAAATGGGACACACAGAAATTTACGTGGTTCACCCTCAACTCTTTTAGGGCTACGGCCACGGTACAAACTCCGAATCATTCTTCCACTATTAAAACAATAGTAGGTACAAAGAGAGTAATACAAAAATAGTGACACACAAAGTGTTTCCCAAAAACACCCTAATCCTCACTATTTTTTGCTCTCCCCTCGTTTTAGGATAACCATCCCTAAAAACGGTAACACTCTTTTCGTCGCTTACATTTTCTCTCTCCCCGTTTCTGGGGTGTGCTTGTGTGTTCTGCCGTCTGCCCTCGTATTTATAGTTCTGCCTCTGCCTCTATTTATAGGCAGGTTAACGCGTAGGAATGCCGTGTACAACTCTTTCAAGTTGCACCGCCCATGTGCTATCACTGTTGAACTGACTGCTCCTATTTTTTTTCTTACTTTCACACATGTGGGTCCCATTTAAGTGGGCACACCACAACAGAACTTTCAATTTAGGATGTTGAATTTGATTTTAAATTTGGAAATTATTAATTAAAATTTTTATTTATATATATCATTTTATTATATGGGGATGAATATTTGATGAAAATGATATAATATATATATGTTAACTATTATAAAAATAAGTTGTTACACTTTATATATATATATATATATATATATATATATATTATATATGAGAGAGAGAGAAGAGAAGAGATGAGAGAAGAAAGGAGAAGAGAGAGAGAGAGAGAGAGAGAGATAATATTAGAATCGAAAAAATTAGAAAAAAATACAGATTTTGAACCGTCCAACTTGGTCTAACTTAGAGAGAGAGAGAGATAATATTAGAAATCGAAAAAATAGAAAATACAGTTGAACCGTCCAACTTGGTCGAAACTTAATCCAGTGAGATATCACTTCAGTTGCCGTCCATTTCTGACAATATTGATTTTTATTGAATAATTTTTATTCATTAATCTATCCAACTAATAACACATACACGCTATTTTAACTAAATTATCAAAGCCCGTGAATAGGGACGATAATGAATCTGTTCCTGTTTAAAATGCACTGTCCGAATTCAAATCTGATTATAAATTGGTACTTGAATTTATTTAGAAATTCATTTTTTATATTCAAATTCGTCCGAAATTCAATTATTATTATCTATTTAAATATTTGAATCCATTTAAATAGTCGTTTCACGTTAAAAATATCTTTTATTTTTATTTTTCAAAAAGGAAAAGTAAGTAAAAATTATAAATTATTATTTTGAATAGTAAATATAATTATAACATTAATTATAATTAAAAACGTACATATATAATTTTTTAAAAAATAATTATTTTAAATATTTTTCAAATGTTCATTAAACGGTAGTGGGTACTCAAATTTTTGAATCCGAATTTAAAAATACTATTTAAATTCATCTCAAATCCGTTTATTCACTACTCAAATTCACTAAAATCTGATTAGATCAGATCGAGCGCGGCAGATAGGGTGAAATTGCCACCCTTATCCGCAAACCTTTACTTTAATGGCTTTTATTTTTTTATTTGTATATAAAAAAAAAATACAAAATCATAAAATTCATTTGAATTGAGTTTAACTGATTCAATACGTCAAACCGGTTGGTTTTAAATGCATTTCTTAGAACGGCTGCGAACGTCAAAACACTCCAAGCATTTCTAACGTAACGCGCGCATCGAATTCCGTGCGCATACGTAGCGCACATTAGCATCTCTGACCCATTCCGGCTCTCTCTCCATTCCCCGCGAGTGAGAGACCAAAACACATTTCCATCCAATTTCCCGTTCTTCTCTTTTTTCCGGTGCAGCATTTTCCTTCCAAATTCCAATTTTACCCCTATTACCACCTACAATTACGAGTCTACAGTCTGCCTTATGGCTCCGGCTTCCACCACCTCCTCCCCAGGGGCGGCGGCAGCTCGGCGTATTATCGGCTCTCGGAGGCGAACCAAGGCCACTCCCTTGCCGTCTCCGCCAGAGTCACCGCCGCCAAAAAAGCTAAAGCCCATTTCGGAGATACTTGCTAAGGCGAAGTATGCCGTGGTGGAGCGAGCTGACTACAGCGACGTGAGCTGCGAGCAATGTGGCTCAGGTGAACGAGCCGACGAGCTACTCTTATGCGACAAATGCGATAAGGGATTTCACATGAAATGCGTTAGGCCGATCGTTGCTAGAGTCCCGATTGGATCGTGGTTCTGCCCTAAGTGCTCTGGACAGAGACGAGTAAGAAGTAGGGGAAAAATTTTACTTTTCTGTTTATGTTTCTATTTTCATTTTTGATGAAAAATATGACAATGTGGGTTGATGGTTTGTTTTAGGGCTTTCACAGAAGAAGATAATTGATTTTTTCAGGATTCAGAAGTGTAATCGCAAGAAAGATAAATGCAGCTCTCCTCAAGGTGAATTTTTTTCCTTTTTTTTTTCTTTTTTTGCTGGTATGTTATTCTTTTTATCATTTCTTTTATCTTTGAAATTTTTTTTTAATATTTCTTGTTGAAAACTTCTTTCAGGTTTTCATGATACAAGTTTTTCAATCCTGTTTAGCCGAAAATAAATCCAATAACATTGAGGAAAGGAGAAGAGGATTAATAGCAACAATCACAAAAAGAAATAAATTAATTAATTAATAAACAAGGGAATGATTCACCTGCATTGATGTGGAACTTCTCTAGAATTACTATTTGGGATGGTGTGTTAAAATTGGAAAAAAAAAAAAAAGGAAAAGAAAAGAAAAGAAAAATGCTGGATATACTTGAACTTGTAGAATGTGTTGGAGATAGTTTTGGGAGATTGCATGAATCAATTTTTATAATTTGTAGGATATGTATTGGCAAACACTAACTTCTTAAGGAATCAAGTGAAGGGCTGGTCGTTTTAATTGTAGGAGAGGGAAAATTAGAAGTGTCTTTAAAATGAAATCCTAGCTTAAATATGAAGATGTTTCAGCTTGATCAAATTTTGAAAACATCAATGTACTTTGCATGAAATTCTAGCATCAGACATAAATGCTTTTTTTTTTTTTTTTTTTTTTTAACATCAATGTATAGCAAATAATTGAAAACAATCAAATTGTAGGCATTTATGTGGAAGTTATATGCATATAATTTTGCAGGTTTAAACAGATGTAGGAAAAGTTGTAGATTAAGGTGGTTAAACTATCTTAAACCAGATATTAAAAGAGGAGAATTCACATCAGATGAGATTGACCTAATGATCAGGCTTCACAGCCTACTGGGAAACAGGTAACTCAACATCTAACCAGGTTAGGTCATTCTGTCTCATCCTATCTACATGAGTGGGATTCTGCTTCTACTTTTATTTGTTTTACTTGTATTTGAGATTATCGGTTATTTTGATTATAATTATAATTGCAAGCATGTGTATGGATTGTTTGATTAGTGGTTGCCATTCTTGTAGATTGCTTTTTGCCAAACTTATTTACTTGCCAAAGTTTGAATCTATGTAAGTCCAATCATGCTAGATCGCTAAATTGCCTCCTAAATTAAGCAAACAAAGGCAAGTATCAAATTCAAACAATAAAATCAACCTTCAATCATACTGCAAGATAATTAAGGAGATTCCTTTAAAAGCTCCGGAAACAGGGGGCGACAATGAGATCATTATGTAAGCAAATAGTCTATATATTGGCGCGATTTAAATATAATATTTCTAGCAACCTTATAAAATCTTGCAAAAATCCATTGAATATTTAGTTAATGGAAGAGGTCCATTGTTGCATCATATGTTATATGTCATTTGACTCAAAGGAGATCACATGACTGCACAATTACAGTAGACAAGCATGCATGTATCTCCATGCATATGCCTATAGAACATTTTTTTATTACAATTTGGTGGGACTGATAAATTTAAAAGAATTGTGAATTCAATTTAGGATAAAATTTAAGACTTACTTATTTGGGTATTTTCTTTTTGGTTATTTAGGATGGTTATTTTTGTTGTTATTTTGTGATTGATTAGGTGATTCATTTTCAGTTCTTCATCACCTGCATATGAAATCCTAGTATTTGCCTTTTTCTTCCATTTATGCTTCCCTTTTCCCTTTTTCTTTTTGCCCTTTAATATTTGCAAAACCAAATGCAATTTCCTTTAGCATTGGATTTAAGAAAGAAATGTAAGAGACTAAGGGCAGTGGAATCTCTTTGTTCTCTATCTTTGTACTTGAGTGCTCAACTTGGAAGACGTTGTGTTGTTATCCACTCTGCTGTGACTCTATTAAGGGGAGTTCCTTAGTTGGCCAATATTCATTAATCTAATTGATGTAACATATATGTTTTCAGTTGGCAATTCAATCAATTGCAGTTTATGCTCTGTAGAATTTGCTGCTCACTATTAGAAAACCTTGCCTTTCATATTCATGCTGAGTGCTGGTTAGTTTTAGTTAGGGTTCCATAAATAATACTGATTGTATGAGTCCAGATGTATAATGTTCCATTTTAATTCTAATTACTTATTTACTTGCATTTGAGTTGCAATATGATGGTTTTTTATTTGCTTCGGTTGACTTTAAGACACAAGAAAGCGTCGAAGGCGTTCAGGACCATTGGTGTATCAAAAGAAAAGGAGGAGACTCTTGCCATTTATTCCATCAGAAGATGCTGCTGAAAGGTTGAAACAAATGGGCACCCTTGCATCTGCCTTAACAGCATTGCAAATGGAGTTTAGTGATGAACTAACCTACTTGCCTGATATGGCTCCTAGAGCTGCCAATCAGGCAGAGTTTGAAGAGGGTGGCATGCAGGTCTGAAGTCAAACTTCCATTTTTAATTATAATTTTTGGGAGCTATTGGCGCTCTTATCTTGCATGTGAGTTAGTTACAGTAAATTCTGGGTTTTTTAGGTTCTTTCAAAGGAGGATATAGAGACACTGGAGCAGTGCAGAGCTATGTCTAGAAGAGGCGAATGCCCTCCTCTTTTAGTGGTTTTTGATTCTTGTGAAGGGTACTTACTTTCTGAACAGGTTTCCAGTGCTGCTGTATTCCATCACTGCAGATTTGAGTAGATTCATTTCTATTTTGTGATGCAGATTTACAGTTAAGGCAGATAGCCAGATAAAGGATATGACATTAATAGCAGAGTACACAGGCGATGTGGATTACATTAGAAATCGTGAACATGACGATTGTGATAGTATGATGACCCTTCTTTTAGCAAAAGACCCAACTAAAAGCCTTGTCATCTGCCCTGATAAACGTGGAAATATTGCTCGATTTATCAATGGCATTAACAACCATACTCCGTAAGCCTGTGTAACCTATTGCTGCTTCTCCATATTCTAACTTGAAAAGTTATTGCTCTTCTCATTATACCTCCTCATACTTGCACCTTACTTGATCTAGGTTTCTGTTTGCAAAACAAGATACCCCACCTGTTTCTTCAGTCAAATTCTACATTTGTTGCATTTTTTGTATCGAGGTTGCGTTAGAAATACGAAATATTAAGTCTGTCCTCCATGAAGTTTAAAATATATCCAATTTTGTGCAGGGATGGTAAGAAGAAGCAGAATTGTAAATGTGTGAGATACAGTGTAAATGGTGAATGCCGGGTATTTTTGGTTGCCACTCGTGATATTGCTAAAGGAGAGAGGCTATACTATGATTACAATGGATATGAGCAGGAATATCCTACCCACCATTTTGTTTGAGAAATTATAGATAGCTGTCTAACAATCCTACAGAACTGGGATTGGGATCCTCATAGATCCTTTCTGATTCAACATTTAATTTCACAGCTTAGTTATTGTTGTTGAAGAGTCAAAACATTTCTTCTAATGTACTCTTGGGTCATTTATAGTAATTTATGATTTAGAGCTGCCCTTCACGAGGCTTTCAGAAAAATTAGAAAAGGCAAGAATTTAGGCATGAAATTTTGGTATCCTAGAAATATTTTTTGAAAACTGAATCTTTTTGTAATACAGATTTCAAATGAAGTCTTTCTTTCACTCACTCTAAATGCAGTGCGTCCAATAAGATTGGTAGTTTTGTGTTATCTTACAGATTTTTCATGACATATTAATGTTCTTTTCGCTTACTCCCCCTAAATAAGGTGACCTTTCAATTAGAAGTGTGACATTAACATTTTGTTATTATTTGTATTAGTTAACTCATCTTGTAGGTTTTCTACCTCCTGTTTGTAAAAGGTTTCTAGATTCTTCCCATGGAATCCAGGAGATGTATTTCTTTTCTGTTTTAGTTTATGTACTCTGACTTCTCAACTTCCATATAAATCATCTTGAGATATTACGCTTGGCCATGGATAAAGTTGAAGGCATTCTTCAAATCGCTGAAGTTAAAGAATGAATTGGAAGCTGTGAGGTATGGTAAGCTACTCTCGTTTAGAATTTACCACTCTTGATGCCAGTTTGAAACCCGTGTTTTGTTTGCCTTCAATGCTAATGTATTACCCGTTCAAAAGGATAGTTTGTGCTGCTGCATCCATCTGCATCTGAAGCCAGTCAAGGATGTTGAAGCTGACACTTCGTTATGGGCATTGATTTTGAGTTATTTTCATGTATCTGCTTGAGGTTACATATCTTTGTTACATCAACTTGCCTGGCTGCCTTGTTTACAAGATGAATGAGACAGTGTTCTTATTTCAAGATTGCTGTTATATGAGGTGGTTCACCTGTTGACACGGTGCTTCGTGACAAGTAAATGCTGCTTTCTACTGCATCATTGATCCAGCTGCTTAATTGCAGCGTTGCTGTAAAAATTTATAAATTGCTTCAGAATATTTTCTATATTGATTTGTATCAATACTCCTGTTCCCAAATTTGAGAAATGGTATGAAAGATATTACTAACTTTTCTTCGATGACTATGGAGAAACATATGTAACAAATCTCTCTTCTGTCTTTTTTTGTGAGTGTTAAAAGAAAGAAAAGGAAAAAGAAAGAGGGAAGGATCTTATTCAAAGTTGGATTTTTTCTGGGGTGAATTTGATCTTTTACCAGTCTTCTTAACAACAGAATATGGTTTCATTAAGGATGAGTTTGGACAGATTTTAGTTTAAGTCACAGCAGAACCTCTAACATAGTATCATACAAATTCGTGATATGTGCTAAAATGTTCTCATTTTGCAATAAGAATATTTGCAGTGCTTGTGGTATGTTTTTCATTTTATTTGCTTCTATAATTCTAAAGGGTTGATCAACGTAATGGACTAACTTGAAAAACTTTTTTTTTATTTTTTTTATTTTTTTGATAAATTCCAATATAAAAAAAAATGAAAAGTAAAAACTCTCTTACTCATTCTCATACTGAACAAACGGAAGTGATGATCAGAACGAATGCAAAGATCAAGGATTGGAAACGGCGCTAGGTTAACTATGGGAATATGCAAAATGGGCCTGAGATTATACAAAATCCAACTAGCACAATGTACTGCATGAAAGAGAGGCCTACATTAATTTATATGGACCAATACATGGACCAAAACTAACGCGAATAACAAAGTTAGTTAGGCAAAGTAGTTTTGCTACAGTAGGATAATACACAAAATACTAGACAGGACTTAGTATAAATACATATTGGTTATCTTTTTTTCATTAGCTGATCATATTGTACAATTTCTTTTCATTGATAACGAAGTAGATCCACAACTCCTCAACTAGTTTTACAATTTTTCTCATAATTTTATATTTCTAAACATGATATCAGAGCTTATGACACAATGGATTGATCTCTGTTTTTATTCATTACTGTAAATCAGTCCTTGTGCTTATTTATCTCCTTAAATCAGCAAATAGGGAGACTTATTCATCCATAGCTGCAACACCTGTAAGAGCAGAAATAGAGGAATCAGATGGATTGAAGCTACTTAATTTACGCAATCCTACTACAAACCTTGTAAGGTTTTACTTACTGGTAATAATTACTTGTCTTGGAGTATATCTATGATAATTGCATTGAGAGCTACGGATAAGCTAGGGTTTATTAATGGACAATGTGAAAAACCAGAAAATAATTCACCTGTGATGGAAAAATGGCTGAGGGTAGACAATATGGTGGTGTCATAGATTCTGAATTCCATATCCCAGTATGGCGGTGTCATGGATTATGAATTCCATATCCCAGTATGGTGGTGTCATGGATTCTGAATTCCATATCAAAGGATATAGTAGAGGCATACACAAACAATGCACAACAATTATGGGAGGAGCTAGCACAAAGATTTGGTGAGAGCAATGGCCCTCTGCTCTACCAAATCAAACAAGAAATTTCAAGTATTAAGCAAGGAAATAACTCAGTGATGGTGTATTTTACCAAGATGAAAAGACAATGGGATGAGTTGACATGCTTAAGGCCTTTACGTACATGTACCTGTGGAGCATCAAGAACTATGACATAAATAGATAGTGAAGACAAACTCATATAGTTCTTGATGGGATTAAACGAGTCATATGATAATGTGAGAAACCAAATACTATTGATGGTACTGATGGCCCCTTTCTTAGTGTTAACCGAGCCTATTCAATGCTTCTTAGGGTTGAAAAGCAAAAGGAGGTTCACACTATGAGTTTTGAATCAAATGAACACTCAACAACAATGTATGAAAATAGATTTAACAATCATCAAAAATTCAACAATAAGGATGGAAGCAATTTTGCCAACCAAAAGGAAGACAGGTATTGCAATCATTGTAAAAAGGGAGGACATACAAGGGACACATGTTTTAAACTACATGGATATCCTGGATGGTTTACTGAGTATAAACAGAAAAGGGCAGAAGCTAGTGTCAGCATGTCAAATCAAGTGAATGAAACGCCTCTAGAGAGTTCAACAGTGATGAATGTGGAAGCATATTGAGATCTCAATGATTATATCACAAAGATGATTCAGCAAGAGGTTATGAGGATGATGAAGGGCAAAGAAGTGCAAGCTTGCAAGCTCAATGATAATGCTGACAGTATAGACCAGATAATACGTGCTTTGCAGGTAATACAAACACATCTCATTTTAATTACGTGACTAAGGATAAAGACAATTGGATAATAGATATGGGTGCTACAGACCATATGACCTATAACCCAAAACTTTTTTATTACACTTACAAATTACCAACACCTAGACTTGTCAAACTGCCCGATGGTTCATATAAAATAGTCACACATGCTGGTACAATAAAGATAAATCACAGATTGGTTTTACATGAAGTGTTGTTAGTCCTTAGTTTTAAATGCAACCTGATTTCAGTTCATACCCTTACCAAAAAATGCAACATTTTTGTTAAACCAAAACTAACCATTGTCTATTACAGGATATACAAACTGATGCACTTATTTTTATTGGAAGGGTTCAAGGAAGTTTATACCTATTGAATAACACATATTTTCATTCAAATATTACTTGTAATGCTACTATCTCTTGTGACAATCGTAATAAGCATGTAGGAATGCTTTGGCATGCTAGACTAGGCCACATATCAAATGCTAGATTCAAACACATATTTTAATTGTTGAATACAAAAATTGAATTTGAGGATTGTTTCATTTGTCCCTAGTCAAAACAACAAAGATTGCCTTTTCCTCTTAGTACTAGCCATGCATAAGCTAAATTTGCTTTAGTACATGCTGATTTGTGGGGTCCTTATTCATTTAGATCAATGACAGATACAAGATATATGGTCACATTATTAGATGATTACAGCAGGTATACATGGGTCTATATGATAGGGGACAAAATTCAAGTGATTGAGGTTTTTGGCACTACCTAAGCATGATTAGCACACAATTTCAGACTAAAATTAAGAAAATAAGGACAGATAACAGGACAAATTTCATTAACAAATAATTACAAGGGCTCTTTTCTCAAAAAGGTATCATACACCAACTATCTTGTCCCTATTCCCCTCAACAAATGGAAGGGTAGAGAGGAAACATAAGTCCATAATGCAAATAGGTAAAACACTTATACTTCAATCTAGACTCCCTAAGATGTTTTGGTCAGAAATTTTATTGGTAGCCACTCACAAAATAAATAGAGTACCCATAGAAATATTGAAATGGAAATCCCTTTTTGAGGTTTTACATGCGAAATCCCCAAATACCACATATTTCAAAACCATAAGATACTTATGCTTTGCAAACAATGTAACACCAAACAAAAACAAATTTGATGCAAGAGCAATTCCGACTATTTTACTTGGCTACACGCCACACTAGAAAGGATACAGACTTTATGATTTAAACATAAAAAAAAAAAAAATTCATTCTAGAGATGTCAATTTCAAGGAGCATATATTCCCCTTTCATAACCAAATACCCACTTCTAGCTACAAGTTCTCCTTTCCAAAATGCATTGATGACAATATCCCACATACTACACACACATACACACCCCATTCACCACAACCAATCATTCATAATCATAATCTACCACCATAATCAAACATGCAATCACAACCAAACATACAAACTTAATTTCCATCTCCCATCGCAAATCACCAATTCCAAAATATTATAACAAACCAAGATACCATAGAAAACCAAAATACAACCTCAATTCCATCATAAAATATCATTTCTCATACAACGGATCAAAACAGTACCATACCTGTATTGACTTACCCACAACCAAAATTAATGAGAAGCGTTAGAACCAAAACTAAACCTGCTTGGCTTATTGATTTTGTAGCTCTTGTTTCATCCAATAGCAATGACACATCACCTGCACATCAAATAGGTCGATTTTTTTATTATATTCTGCTGCCTATTTAAAAGTCCATGAGCCTAAATATTTTAATCATGTTAAGAAAGTTGAGAAGTGGTTATAGGCAATGTAGGCTGAATTAAATGCACTAGAGGCAAATGACACTTGGCTTGTTCTAAAGTTATATAAAGGCAAGAAGACCATAGGATCTAAATGGTTTATAGAATCAAATATAAGACAGACGATATTGTTTACAGATACAAGTCTTGCTGAGTGGCTAAGAGATGCAATCAATTCCTAGGTCTACATTATATAGAAAGCTTCTCCCCTGTTGCAAAATTGGTTACTATTAGGGTTCTATTGGCCTTAATAGCAGCAAAATTATGCTTTCTACACTAGCTAGACATCAATAATGCATACTTACATGGGCACATTGATGAGGACATTACATTTATATGCATCCACCATAGGGTTATACTAAGACATTCCCAGGTCAAGTTTGTAAACTAAAGTGCTCTTTGTATGGGCTAAAGTAGGCAGGTATTCACTGCTATCTTGATCAACTATGGGTTTTCTCAATCTTCCACTGATCATTGCCTATTCACTAAGGGATCAAGTGACAATTTTCTTATTCTTATTGTCTACATTGATGATGTGTTGATTACTGGACCTTCTGTGTTATAGTATATTATAATACCACCTAATAGTTTTTTTAACAATAAAAAATAAAGGTAACTCATTTCATTAAAAAGAGACAAACCACCTAATAGTTTTTTTAACAATAAAAAATAAAGGTAACTCATTTCATTAAAAAGAGACAAACCACCTAATAGTTTTTTTAACAATAAAAAATAAAGGTAACTCATTTCATTAAAAAGAGACAAACCACCTAATAGTTTTTTTAACAATAAAAATCGCGCTCTAGAACCAAAGTGAATACTTAACTCTGGTGTAGAACATATAATGATTATTTATACGGTTGAGCTTTGGATGTTTTTATCAAATTTATCAAACAAATATTATGTTTATATTAGAAACATCAATCACAATATGCACAAATTCAATAGGGTCTCTCAAGTATGTAATTTTTATATTTGTAAGTATATTATAGTCTGTAAAATATTTATTCGCTATGGAAGAATGTGCGACTAATGAGACAAGAGGCAGT